ATACATACATACATACATACATACATACATACATACATACATACATACATACATACATACATACATACATACATACATACATACATACATCCCCCCACGCCCAATTTCCCACTACACTTTGTCACACACCCACACATTTCTAATCAGTCTCGAGCACCAGGCAGTTGTAAGTGGCCTAGAGCCAACACTTATCCCAGCCCACATTATGTCAGTGGAAGGCCAAGACCGATCCGTGTAAACATTGCCATTCACAATGCAGGCCCTATACTACGTCACCCACTGAATGCCAGCATTACAGGCCTAAAGGTATCTTTTAAGGTAGGTGGAAAACAAGGAGTTTTGTTTTGTTCATGTTCAAGCGCTTAAAAAAGCAACTTTTTTTCAAACGTTTTGGTTTAGAGATAGGCATACCAACAATATAACGACCGTTTAGTTTGAGTTTAGCGAAGCTCTTCAGTGCATGTACAAGAACAGTCATTTTTTGTTTTTGTTTGAGGAAAGAGAAGCACGTCGACATAATATTGGGTGGTTGGCGAGTGCTTTGGTGAGGCTTGCTCCTTCTTCACTAGACTACATACATGTATTAGACTATCAAACCTCTATCATTAACATCTCTCCTCCTTTTCTATGTATGTTATTCTCCGTGTATCACTTCTGATCTTCGGCACTTATGTGACCTAATTGCGTTGCAAGTGGGATAAAACTCGTAGTCAGACTTAAACGATATGATAATAAAATAACAGTAGTTTACATGAAGGCAAGGAAGGTCCCGCCCAAGTCCCGAGTAATAGAAGACGGGCGGAGACAACAAAGGGAAAGAAAAAAAGAAGGATCTGCAGAGACGCCTTCAACAACCAACCAACGACTTTTGGTCAAAGATACCCCCCCCCCCCAAGCGTAGCATTCATTCAAATGGAATTATACACCTTACAACTCGTATCAATTCTCCTTATCATCGCACTTGTTTTTACTTTTGTTTTATCATGTACTTCTTCGAAGGTTGTTGGTTTTAGGTTTTGTTGTTTGTTCTTTTTTTAAAAAGGGGGTGGGGGTTGATTTGAGGGTCAAAGTCCTCCACTCATTTACTTAATTGTGCCGTATCAGAGAAGGAAGTTACAGAAAAGCATGTCTTGCTGTCTTGCCTATTACGCAGCATAATTGATAAAGTGGCTTACAGCCATACCGCAAATAGTTTTTCGATACCGCACGAGTAAGAGACAGACGCACAGCCCACCTTCTCGATAAGTTGTCGAATAACAACGCCTTGCATCCTAACCCTGGTGCTCATATTTCACATTGCTAGAGTGTAAGTGATACATGTATTAGGCATTGTGTGTCGGTGGATTGTCATAGCATGTTCCTCTTCTAAATAAATATTTTAAAAAAGCACCGACTTTTTATGTGCATGTACAGCGGTTTAAACGCTTTGCTGTCGAACGCAGAAAGCCAGAGCTGAATTCCAATGTGGGAAGACTTTTTGTCGAGTATTTTGTTCTTTCTGCTGGGCTAGGACGTATTCTCCCTCTCAGCCTGTATTGGATCTAACAGACAGGGCCGAAGCCGCCCGCCTCCTAAATGCTCTAAAACGTGTTGACGGGGGCGTGAAAGCAATTACATTAAAACAAAGTGTTTATATTGGTAAAAGTCGACCC